GCGTTTGTGTGTGGTGTTCGAGCGATTTTGCATTCTCGGGAAGACTTGGTAGTAGAGAAATACATACATGTATGACATGCAAATTTTCAGTGTGCGTGTGCGCTATGCTCTTTCCTTTCTGCATATATATATATATATATATATATATATATATATATATATATATATATATATATAGTGAGAGAGAGAGAGAGAGAAACGGATTCGTTTGATTTTGTGCAAATGTGATTCAGTGATGTGGGCTAATGTTGGTTTGTTATTTGTGTGTGATGACTTGCCGTGGAGCTGTTCATCGCATTTATAATATGTGCTGAACAGTTGTTTGCGGCTGAAAGATAATTTGTCGTGTCGCACATGCAGGTTCTTTATTTGTAAACCCTGTCATCACAACCGACATACATGAAGCTGTGTCCTGATTGAGAATAGTCTTGTCCGATATGTTCGTTTCATTTTATCTAACAAAAGTGTGTATGTATATAGACAGTTGTATACACATATAGAGTAGATTTTGTATGTTGATGCTTTATATGAGTGTGTATTTGTATTGTTTGGGCTGTGTCGATTGGTTATGGCGAGTAGCCGTTCAGCTGCCCCGTGCATAGTTGATTCACTGTGGGTCGTTTCCTGCGGCTGAGATTGAATGGATGCACTGCTATGCCTCTTGTCCATTTCAGGGACTCGTTGGGTACGATGTGCAGGCCACATGGGATGTTGATTTGTTAAGGTGTTTATGTCGTTCTTAGTAGTGTATTCGTATGTTTGTTTGTGATTTGTTTTTCTGTGTCTGTAGTCAGTTATATAGCTACTATACTGCATTGTGCACGTTCGTGAATGATGTCGTTAGAGTAGCTGATATTTATGCAATGCATTTGATGCGTGTGCGACAAAATGTTATTAGTGTGTTGTCTGTTTAATGAAACACTAGTGGTCAGTATGACAGCAGGTTTCATTGTCTACTGTGTTGATCATGCTACGCCATGTGAGTGTGCGAACTGAGAGAAGCAGAGTTTCCTTTTACCGTACTATGAAGACAGAATGAATCGATGTACGTTGTGTGTGTGTGTGTGTGTGTGTTTCTGAGTAATTTAACTTTGTTCAGGAAGATATTAATTTGTTTTGAGTTTCTGTCTTTTTATGAATATATGCATATGATGAAAGTGTCTTGTCAATGAGTTGTTTTGAATGATTGTTCACTTGTTGTGTAATTATGTGTACGTAGATCTTTGAGTATAGTATGTTGAATAGCCGTTCAGCTACTCCGTGTATATGGGATTCACGACGAGTCGTTTCCTGCGGCTGAGATTGAACGGATGCATTGCTATGCCTCTTGTCCATTCCAGGGACTTGTTTGATACGAATGCAGACGACATGTCACTTTAGTTATTTGTTTTGTGCGTAACAGATATGACTTTTTGGGTTAGTCTTGTATGTGTTGAGCGCTTATGTTGCTGGTGGTTTTGAAATGAATTTTCGACAAATAGATTTTGCGTTGGTCAGTGAATCGTTGTGTTTAAAGTAGCGTTTGTGTGTGGTGTTCGAGCGATTTTGCATTCTCGGGAAGACTTGGTAGTAGAGAAATACATACATGTATGACATGCAAATTTTCAGTGTGCGTGTGCGCTATGCTCTTTCCTTTCTGCATATATATATATATATATATATATATATATATATATATATATAGTGAGAGAGAGAGAGAGAGAAACGGATTCGTTTGATTTTGTGCAAATGTGATTCAGTGATGTGGGCTAATGTTGGTTTGTTATTTGTGTGTGATGACTTGCCGTGGAGCTGTTCATCGCATTTATAATATGTGCTGAACAGTTGTTTGCGGCTGAAAGATAATTTGTCGTGTCGCACATGCAGGTTCTTTATTTGTAAACCCTGTCATCACAACCGACATACATGAAGCTGTGTCCTGATTGAGAATAGTCTTGTCCGATATGTTCGTTTCATTTTATCTAACAAAAGTGTGTATGTATATAGACAGTTGTATACACATATAGAGTAGATTTTGTATGTTGATGCTTTATATGAGTGTGTATTTGTATTGTTTGGGCTGTGTCGATTGGTTATGGCGAGTAGCCGTTCAGCTGCCCCGTGCATAGTTGATTCACTGTGGGTCGTTTCCTGCGGCTGAGATTGAATGGATGCACTGCTATGCCTCTTGTCCATTTCAGGGACTCGTTGGGTACGATGTGCAGGCCACATGGGATGTTGATTTGTTAAGGTGTTTATGTCGTTCTTAGTAGTGTATTCGTATGTTTGTTTGTGATTTGTTTTTCTGTGTCTGTAGTCAGTTATATAGCTACTATACTGCATTGTGCACGTTCGTGAATGATGTCGTTAGAGTAGCTGATATTTATGCAATGCATTTGATGCGTGTGCGACAAAATGTTATTAGTGTGTTGTCTGTTTAATGAAACACTAGTGGTCAGTATGACAGCAGGTTTCATTGTCTACTGTGTTGATCATGCTACGCCATGTGAGTGTGCGAACTGAGAGAAGCAGAGTTTCCTTTTACCGTACTATGAAGACAGAATGAATCGATGTACGTTGTGTGTGTGTGTGTGTGTGTGTGTTTCTGAGTAATTTAACTTTGTTCAGGAAGATATTAATTTGTTTTGAGTTTCTGTCTTTTTATGAATATATGCATATGATGAAAGTGTCTTGTCAATGAGTTGTTTTGAATGATTGTTCACTTGTTGTGTAATTATGTGTACGTAGATCTTTGAGTATAGTATGTTGAATAGCCGTTCAGCTACTCCGTGTATATGGGATTCACGACGAGTCGTTTCCTGCGGCTGAGATTGAACGGATGCATTGCTATGCCTCTTGTCCATTCCAGGGACTTGTTTGATACGAATGCAGACGACATGTCACTTTAGTTATTTGTTTTGTGCGTAACAGATATGACTTTTTGGGTTAGTCTTGTATGTGTTGAGCGCTGATGTTGCTGGTGGTTTTGAAATGAATTTTCGACAAATAGATTTTGCGTTGGTCAGTGAATCGTTGTGTTTAAAGTAGCGTTTGTGTGTGGTGTTCGAGCGATTTTGCATTCTCGGGAAGACTTGGTAGTAGAGAAATACATACATGTATGACATGCAAATTTTCAGTGTGCGTGTGCGCTATGCTCTTTCCTTTCTGCATATATATATATATATATATATATATATATATATATATATATATATATATAAGAGAGAGAGAGAGAGAGAGAAACGGATTCGTTTGATTTTGTGCAAATGTGATTCAGTGATGTGGGCTAATGTTGGTTTGTTATTTGTGTGTGATGACTTGCCGTGGAGCTGTTCATCGCATTTATAATATGTGCTGAACAGTTGTTTGCGGCTGAAAGATAATTTGTCGTGTCGCACATGCAGGTTCTTTATTTGTAAACCCTGTCATCACAACCGACATACATGAAGCTGTGTCCTGATTGAGAATAGTCTTGTCCGATATGTTCGTTTCATTTTATCTAACAAAAGTGTGTATGTATATAGACAGTTGTATACACATATAGAGTAGATTTTGTATGTTGATGCTTTATATGAGTGTGTATTTGTATTGTTTGGGCTGTGTCGATTGGTTATGGCGAGTAGCCGTTCAGCTGCCCCGTGCATAGTTGATTCACTGTGGGTCGTTTCCTGCGGCTGAGATTGAATGGATGCACTGCTATGCCTCTTGTCCATTTCAGGGACTCGTTGGGTACGATGTGCAGGCCACATGGGATGTTGATTTGTTAAGGTGTTTATGTCGTTCTTAGTAGTGTATTCGTATGTTTGTTTGTGATTTGTTTTTCTGTGTCTGTAGTCAGTTATATAGCTACTATACTGCATTGTGCACGTTCGTGAATGATGTCGTTAGAGTAGCTGATATTTATGCAATGCATTTGATGCGTGTGCGACAAAATGTTATTAGTGTGTTGTCTGTTTAATGAAACACTAGTGGTCAGTATGACAGCAGGTTTCATTGTCTACTGTGTTGATCATGCTACGCCATGTGAGTGTGCGAACTGAGAGAAGCAGAGTTTCCTTTTACCGTACTATGAAGACAGAATGAATCGATGTACGTTGTGTGTGTGTGTGTGTGTGTTTCTGAGTAATTTAACTTTGTTCAGGAAGATATTAATTTGTTTTGAGTTTCTGTCTTTTTATGAATATATGCATATGATGAAAGTGTCTTGTCAATGAGTTGTTTTGAATGATTGTTCACTTGTTGTGTAATTATGTGTACGTAGATCTTTGAGTATAGTATGTTGAATAGCCGTTCAGCTACTCCGTGTATATGGGATTCACGACGAGTCGTTTCCTGCGGCTGAGATTGAACGGATGCATTGCTATGCCTCTTGTCCATTCCAGGGACTTGTTTGATACGAATGCAGACGACATGTCACTTTAGTTATTTGTTTTGTGCGTAACAGATATGACTTTTTGGGTTAGTCTTGTATGTGTTGAGCGCTGATGTTGCTGGTGGTTTTGAAATGAATTTTCGACAAATAGATTTTGCGTTGGTCAGTGAATCGTTGTGTTTAAAGTAGCGTTTGTGTGTGGTGTTCGAGCGATTTTGCATTCTCGGGAAGACTTGGTAGTAGAGAAATACATACATGTATTTCAGGGAAACTCGTTGTATGTATGTGAGGTATGCGATTTAATTTGGTTTTTTTTGTATTGTATGGATTTCTTTGTTTTATTCACTTGCTTGGTTTTCGTCCGTTTATTTTGTTTTTGTTGTGTATTTGATTGTTTTGTAATATTCTTTGCTTTTTATGTGCTATTAAGTGTTTGTCATTCGTTTACTTAATTTTAATTATTTATGTAGGTTTGTTGAATTACTTGTCTTTTATTTTAATGACTTCCTACTATATTCTGCTCTCAACTTTACACTCCGTGTGTATTTCGTTCATTCAATATGCATAAATTAACGTTTTCGCTTTCCTATGAACGTTTTGTTTTCATGTGTAGCTTGCGTTGTATTATTTTTTTTCATTGTTTCTTCAGGTTACCCAGCCGTATGGCCATGAGTATATTAACTCCGACTACTAGCACTCAGGTCTCTGTGAGCAACAAGGTTAGTGTAATTAAATTCTGTTGTAATCCTTTTTATGCTTTACACTTCTAAGTGTTAATTCTGTTTTTCTAATTAAGATGATAGGTGCGATCATGGGTAGATCCGGTTGTCGCATAAATCAAGTTCGTCATGAGTCAAATGCAGATATTAAAATCAGTAAACAGGAACCCGGTGTTGAAGATCGTATTATTACAATAACTGGAACTCCTGAACAAATTCAAAACGCTCAATTTCTTCTTCAAATGTGGTACGTTGAATATAAATAAATAAGTTATTCGAAGCGATATTTTCCTTTTTCTGTGCAACATTGAGTTTAACGTGTTCTGTTAACAGTATTATATCTTTTTTTACTGTTCAAAACTGAAATGTACCAGACCACATGATTATAAATATGTTCGTGAATCTGAATTCGGTTCCCTAGGCTTTCAACAGTTCATTGATGTCGTTGGGATAGTAAGTGCCTTAACCAACCTACAAGTGGAATAAAACATTGGAGATTGGTGTTTTCAATCTCTTTACTTTAATTATATATTGGTTAATATAAATGAGAAGTTCAAACTAACTGGCGAAATCCAGCTTCATAATGACATTCCAACTTTAGTGCCTCACTAACAACCATAGTTTGCTTAAATCTTCTATTTATGCAACTTCTTATGAATTCTCTTAAATCTACCACTGAAATACTTATTGCTGATTTCCTAGCTGCTTCCTGTAACTCCAGACTACTTTTACACTTCAAACTCGGGACTATAATTTGTGGACGAACCAAGCAGATATAAGATGACAGGTCTTGGATTTTGGCGCGAAATTCATTCATCTATTCGGCTAAATAGCGTTTTGACATTTTAGCTGATGTCGAATGTAAATCATAATTCCAAATTCTCACACTGGTTTATGATCCTGATTTAGTCATAGTTAGTAGGCAAACATTCGCAAGATCACTTTAGCGTCTCTCAAAAGTCGTCCATAAATTATAGTTTCACCATTGAGTGTGTTACTTTCATATGGCCTTGGTCTTTTGGAAACATACCGAATAATAATGACAGGAAATTATCCAATCAAAACGTGGCACATGATCCTTCAATTTTTTGAATATCTCTCCCGACCGAACCTGCTACCTTGACGCGGTGGTCGGGCTTGCCTATCGTTATGACCCAACCGAGCTATATTGGCTGGAACATATGTTCCTGTAGGTTCTACCATGCCAGGCAGGTCGATTGGAGAACGGTAAGACTAAAGGTCTGAGGGCGAAGTCGTACTGCTGACTGTACAGACGTGTGACAGCAGTAAGGTGTTTCCCTCAGACAACCAGCATCTGCAGCGATGCTACCTTCCCACAAGGAGGATTGGAGTTAGAAAAGGTCGACCCTAAAAATGTCACACCTCACCTTACCTCACGGATTTCCGTCTCCGGCGGTAAGGCCCTTTGAAGAACGGAGCTAACACATTAAAAACCTTCCACGAAAAGGCCGTGCGCAACCGGCCTCAAGCAGTTGTCCTTTGGGCTCTGCGGTCACGCTCCCAGGTCTTTAAGACCAACACTAATCCGATTTCCTTTTCAGGTTCCTCAAGAAATACTCTTCCACGGTCTGGGCAGCCGGGAAGTGACACCAGCCCTCATACCCGTAACGGCACACAAGACCAAGTTGGTCACGTACAATCCTTCCTATACCTCTCTTATCTCCATGACTAACCCTCCTCACGTCTCTTTATCACCTCGCACCGCTAGGGCAAACGATTCGAGCACGCGGAACGTTATTCCTGGTCTCCTAAAACCACGCTCTAAACTACACGTAGGAGCTTTTAACGTCCGAACACTGCCAAATAGGACAGCAGGCTTCCTTAGCTAAGACTTTAGGATCCCGCGCCATCAATGTGTGCTGCGTCTCCGAAACGCGCATACAGGATCCGAGTAGTGTCATTTACTTGACCTCACCATGCCAAAATAAAGAACCGACTCGATTCACACTTCATGTATCTGGAAGTTTTGATTCTGCTTCCCGTGGCCTCGCCGGCGTAGGTATAGCATTGAGTCCTAGGGCAGAACTAGCCCTCTTAGAGTGGATCCCAGTAGACAGTCGTTTGTGCGCTGTCTGACTGAATGGAACAGTAAGGATTCGAAAAGATAAGGACACTCGTCGTTGCCTCTTCGTCGTCTCTGCCTACTCTCCCACTGACTGCAGCTCAGATGATGTAAAAGATGAGTTTTACAGAAAGCTCTCCGACCGTCTCCGAAAAGCTAGGCGCTCGGATGTAGTAATAATGGCCGGTGACTTTAATGCTCAAGTAGGTAAACTAAGCGATAGGGAAAGACACCTGGGTGGATCTTATAGCATCGTGGCTCAAAGAACAGATAATGGCGACCGTCTGTTGTGGTTAGTCCAATTCGAATATTTTTTTAAATTTCGAACAGTATTAATCATAGAATTCGCTCATATGAACACCTCCCTTCTGTAATGCAGTATTCAACGCACAAATCTGGCTGTGCGTCCGAATCAATAATTTAGATACCGAACGATTTGCTTCAAATTTTCGTGACTATATCAACTGTTTATTTAGTTGATACTGAAGAGACAGGAACTTCGGTCAAAATTCGGCATTGCTTATGAATGACCAAGGTTTAATCCCTTTTAGTGAAATGGTGTTAGAAATAAAGTTTCCACATCATAAATGCAAGTTCAATAATATTTGAATGTCTGCCGTGTCCATCAATTGATGCGACAAGGAAATTTCTCATACATTTAGTTAAGTAATAAAGCATAAAGTGGTTGGTAATATATCCTGCCGGTGTATATCTCAAACTATCGCTTCGACACCATAGACGGTATAGACCGCCGTAAGTCAATGAAACTTCCAGTGTATAGATCAAGCAGTTGATACTTTCAACGATTTTACACTTTAATGTTAGGTTAGATGGATGCATGTCGATACGTATCCCCTGCTGCATCATTTGGGAGATGTGGAAGATACTCATGTATTGTCAATTTTATGCTCGTGATATGCACATTTATCACTCTGCTTCTTTGAGAACTGTGAGTCATTAGTTCAGGTACTTTGTTTTGAACCGCGCCATGTTTGGGGCATTGAACCTATAATTCTTATGTGAGGTTCTTCATCGAAATTTGGCAACCAATAGTGTATTAGTTATGTACCGATGACGATCTTTTAGTATTCATCGTGGATGTTTTTCCACATTTACTAAATAAATTTATAATTGCTTTAGTGACTCATTATTTGATCTTTTTGTTTTCAGCGTTAAACGATATGGTGATCAAATCTGATTCCTCACTATCATCCTTGTTTTCTTTTTCCCTAACTCCGTCTCTTGCGGAACTAAATGAAAACCCATATCCTCACTAATTTTATTATTCTTGAATGCTTTATCCAATTATTTCAATTACACAGATATGTTCTATGCAGTTAACTTGTTAATGTTTTGTGTTTTTGTAAAAATTGAAAACACTCGTTTCATTCTTTACGAATAAAAGTCGCTAGTTAATATGAACGTCACTGGAAATAATATGAGTCTTTCATTCATTTTAAAATGTGTTATCATAATTCTTATCCATTTCTCTTCAGAAATTAAAGTAGCGTTTAGCGCTTCAGATAAAACGTTATTCTTTTATAATTATCAGCAAATCTAATAAACGATGTGATATGTATTAATAATTAAGTGAATACTTATAGGACTTACTTCCATAGTTCATAAGAGAGAAACTAGATTTGTAGTAACAGTTTAGTCAGCCTAGGGGTGTGATCTGAGAATCAGAGGAATAACTCCTTAAGACAAATCAATCATGACCATTATGTGTGCGGTCATTTCTGCAATAATGACTTCCTACTTTATATATCTTACTTCCAGAACTGAAAGTCCATGTAGTATTTCAACGACTGACACTAAGCTATTGCGTGGCTGTGCAAAGATAGGATGACTGAAGATCCGTTAAAGGTAAACACGCGTCACCACTACCTAAAAATAACAAAGCTTACATAGTTTCTAGTGTTTGTGCTTTATTGTTACTGAACATCGGAGCTTAACTGTGCACAAATGACTGCTAGTGGAGATTGATTGGATGCTGTAGCGATCGCTCCAACAACAGTAAAACAAACATTTATGTATCCTGAAAATCCTCTTCAGTTGACCGTCTTGTAATATCGAAATACCTATTATCCAATCAGCGCTAGTCGATACTTGGAGAACAATCTATGGATCTTCTCATGTAGAAACTATAAATATACTAACGTTTTTCCTATTGTGCTTCTTACTTCCATTTAACCTTGTTATTTGGAATATAATCTCTTTCCTGTTCAACCGTGTTCTGATCTGGGGACCTGTTGAGTGAATTGGTGTCTGAGAAGACTAAGCAATAGGAATAGCCGGGTTATAACCGTAAGAATGAATTATAACACCTATGTTAAGGTTGTGTAGGGAACAGGTTGCATTAATTTCTGACTAAGTAATTCCCTGAGCTGACTCGATTGAATGGATGAAATAAAACCAATCTTCAGTCAAGGACTCAGCATAAGCTACAATATAACATCCTGATTGAGTGACTTATTTAGCCCTTTTCGTGATAAACTGCTCGTAATCATAATTATTAGCAAAATAAAACATTTGTTCTTATACAAAATAGACATGATAAGAGATTATTTTGTACTATAAAGCCAAGAGAAAACCGAAAGAATTTATGTTATTGATTGGTTTGTTACTTTTAAATCACCGTACGTGATTAAAGTTCTTCCTCTTGCATCAAATTTGGATCGACAGTTGAAATGATATAAATTTTTGTTTCTGCCAAGACTAATTCTTAGCTTACGACTTTTAACAGCTACCTAAACATAATCCGCCTTGATTAGAGCTATTACGATTTTAAGAGGTAATCTCAATGAATGTAATTTAATGCAATGAGAAGCTTATCAGATCTATACGATATGTTAGAGCAATACATTTCGAACAATTGCACAGTTCTGATAAATCCTGTCTTATCGTTGTATTTTTTGATTTGTCAAAGGGACTAACTTTTAACTAACAAATCTAGTTATTTTCGGATGGGTTACAGTCGATTTGCTGAACACTAAATCCATACTATATCTCCTTACAAAAACAAATATATTTCCGTGCTACTAAGGAAATTATCTATAGTTATCACTACGAATGCATGTTATCTATTGTGTTTACTCACTCCGGTCTACACGTGTTTCATATTCACTAAGTTTAAGGTGTTTCTCCAGTAACGTTTATTTTAAAAAGGAGATTAAGTAGTCGAATTTCTTGGTCATTAACGATATCTCAATACAAAGTCGTTTCGCACTTGTCACATGTGACCTTGTTGCGACGTTCGACTTTTACAAAGAGTGAGCTTACCATGATATATCCAACTGTCTTGCTTCGTCAAATACTACAAGTAAACGTGCGAAGTATACAACTTTTTTAAGGCTGAGTGCAAACTTCTACCCGAGGTGCGCTACATGGCAAGCTGGTGTTTGGCGAGTTCAGCTTGGTCCTTCGAATAGCTGCGCAATATACGAAAATAAATGTGCTAGTGCGTTGATTGTGTGGTGCGATCATCTTCCTAAACATCTTTTCAGTACTATATATAAAGAGATAGGAAAGTAAACTACAAACTAGGCTTTCTATCTACTTGATTGAAACATTTGTCTTATGTAGTAGATTAATACCGATAATTCAATTCCGCTTTCATAAAGCTTACGAAATAGCACCCTTAATATTTTATAACCTCTTTTCCAACATTGTGTCCTGAATCGAGCTTGTAGAACAGACAAGCGGTGGTGAGATCAGTTATGACATGACATGTAAAACTGAGGATTCGAAAGCTATGAACCCTTTCGACATAACTTTGTCTAACGGTGTTTACATGGGTTTTGTTTCATTATACACCCTAATACTGCCGGAAATCTTGCTTCTACATAGTTACACTTCATTCCAAAATCCGAGTCAAGTATTTTGAAATCGATATTTAAGCTCTCGATCTTCAAGACTCATGCTTTACGAGTATGGGTTCATGGTGGGACTGTGGAATCAGCATCGTAACGCCGGTAAACTATTGCGCATTGTCAATTATAATCTAAAAATTATCGTATTTCTCAGGGTTGGCTCCTATTTCTTAGAATTCGTGTTCAGGGCCCCCAAATGCCCTGGTACAGCCAGGAGTGGGGAGAGTCATCTCTCCCTCCCGAAATGCTCACACATGGCCACCGTGTACAGCCACTTCCAGAGAAGTCCTATTCACTGCATTCTCACAGTAGGGGTGTTTTCACGAAATCGAAAGGACGAGAAGCGAATATCCGGCGCTCTAACCGGCTTGGTAAACACGGGGGGTTCACTTAGGGGAGTTGAAAAACGCTAACCAATGGTGCATATGAGCTCCAGGATCCTGAAGGGACAACTGGCATATAAACCAATCGTTGGTCACCGGCTCTCATGGGACTGCATCTCATTACGTTGCTCCACTGCCTTGTGGAACAGACCTTTAGCTCGAAGGCTCGGGGTGTGGCGCCTTAGGAAACCACTTGCTTCCGTCTGGGCACCCGGGCAGTATCTTAGCCCACACACAAATCAAGTGACTTGTGTGGCGCATATGTATTCGGTGCCCCTTTATACCAATATTTATGTGTTCAGATAAATTCTGTGTTCGGGAACTGACTATTGTAGAGGGGCTTTTGTGAAATAAATGTATTTAGATTTCCGTAGAAAATATCTTGTGTTGCGACATCGTCCTACTATGGCATGACATGCGAGCCCTCAATTATTTGGCGCCTAATGTTCGTTTGTATGTGGTTCGCCGCATTCAGGTCTTGAATCAGTTGGTAATCTAAGTGCTTGTTTATAGACCTAGATGAGTGAAGTCGTCTTCGTAAGTTCGGTTATAATTGTCGGATTTACAGCAGTTCTACTTCATACTTACGGAGTTCATCCCTTTCAAGCCGATAATGCTTGACAGTTGTATGCTCGGTCATTATCTCCTTCGTGGCATCAGTCATATGCGTTTGTTTAGACATAAAAAGGCTTCTATAGTACGTGCTGCTTGCTGAAGTCATTCGGAGGGCCAGTAAATTTCAAGAATGGACAACCACATGTTTTTGAGTGGAACTTTTCATCAGTTAATCTGGTTAAGCTCATGTAAAATCGAACCCAGAATATTAGTAAACAGCACTTACCATGAATATAGTAGGTCCCATTCATATGAAAACGTTTACTGTCGAACTTTCAGAATGCCAAACACCTGCTTAACATCAACTTATGAAACGAAAAGAAAGCTGAGTATCGCAAAAAATAAGTATCATTGTTTATTTTAAAAATTTTGATCATATGTACAAAAAACAGTTTATACTGTAATCACAATTGTTAAAGCAGATACAATTAGGGCAGATTTTTAGTTATGTCCATTTGTTCCTGAATTAACGGTTGTTATTGCTGGAAATTCACAAGGTGGAATTATTTTTTCTAATATTCGCATACTCAGTTCACCAGTATCTGGATTAATAAGTTGAAGATTGCCCATATGACTTTGTAAAATACGTTCAATTGTACTATTTGATAATTGAGCCATTTGTAAAATATTTGACATATGTGATTTAGAACGATAATGTTTACATAAATGCCCACTAACACGAAAACCTACATGACACATATTACATTTATAAGGGCGTGGATCCTTTAAATAGGCGTGAGATTTAACTCCATGACTTTGTCGTGCATCAGATTCTGGTTTATTTGAAGTATGTAATGATTTTACATTGTTCTGTTTCATATCCTTATTTAATTTTTCTGATGTAGAAGAATCTTCTGTACAAGTTGTACAACTACTGCTACTAGAAGGAAGCGAACATGATTTATCATTTCGACCATTTTCTTGATAACATGGAGTTGAAGTGGATAATCCTTTAGAGTAATATTGCTCTTCTAAATCTGATGTATTGAAATTTATCACTTGAGCATCGATTGGTTTTACATGATCAGATAAATTTCCTGGAGTGGGTATTCTTTCAGAATTTTCTAATAATAGTAAAAACAATAATAATAGACTATTAGAAGGATAGAACACTAGGAAAATGCTCTTTATAACAAATATTACAATTAATAATTTACAAAATGAGAACTTCTTATAAATTGTTTGTAGGTACATGCATATCAATATAAAATTGAGAACTATTAGACAGAATTATTTTACTTCCATAAATGTTATGTATGTAGTATAAATTTAGTATAATTTACTAATAGCATGCTGAACAGATTTAGAACTGGTTACAATAATAATAATTAATTAAGTCGATTATTACATAATATATAAGAACAGTGTAGTAAACTTGAAATCAACATCGCTTAACATTAAAAATGTCAGAGATGTAAAACAGTTCAATGGACAAGTCTCAGGTCCGAACTCAACACTATCCACTTCGATAAGTATCACTAAACTTAATTTTTAAAAAGTATGATTAACATGTACTTGTTAAATGAGTTACCAACAATTCGGCTAGCAATGAACAACTATAAATTATATAAAATTATTAACAGATATGCTCTCATTTATAATTGATACTATTGTCTGAATTCTACTAGTTTAACAGCGATCTAATATGAACGATAAACTTATTACCTTCAGAATGTATTTCAGATCAGTTACTTAAATCAGTCCCTTCAGTGGATTTTAAAAAAATTTATAATTAATTCATTTTTGGGTAGACATCTTACATAGTGTTTGAAAATCTGCAAATAGGGTAATGCCTTTAAATTTTGCAACACATTTATTGTTAGTGTAGCCTGAGTATTCTCAACTGTCACACTTATTCAGATTCCGTTCCACCTATTTCGGCTTAGATAATTAAATAGTATACCTAGACGTCACATAACAAACTAATTTAGTTCATATATCACAGGACGAGGTTAAATCCAGTTACAAAATTACATTCCATAGCATTTTATCATTCCTCTTAGTCTTTCAAAGGATACTCGCCAGTGACTAATACAAGCTTAGGATGAAAGTGTATAAATTAACTTAAAGAATTAATCATGTATGTTCTGAGTATGTTCGTACAAAGGAAAATGTCTTATGAATTTAAGAGGTCAAACATGGAATACTCACTTGAATCTGGTGTAGAATGACTAAATTTATCTGTCTGTTTTAAAGTTGGTTTATCTGTAGCAAGATTACGAGCCGCTTCAACAGCTGTTTGAACAATTACTTCAGCTGATGACAAACAATTATTTGAAACGTGTTTATCACATATATTTTCTGAATGATTAAGATGACTCGACTGAATTCCATTCATTTTAGTATAAACTGATGGTTCAACAATATATTTTATTAGAGCAATTGGTTCTTGTGGTTTAGCACTTAAATTCATTGGTAAATCCTAAATAGTTAACGAAGAATAAAAGGAATTTGTAAAAAAAGTATTACACCAGATTCAAACCAAAGTTGGCGAATGAAGCAAATAGAGAAAATATTTTTTTTAATTTGAAAATACACCAACAAGAAGGGATTTAATTAATATTAAGTCACCGAACAATCCTATATATATATATATATATATATATATATATATATATATATATATATATATATATATATATATATATATATAGGTTGAAATAGTTAACAGTAAGTAAAACACAAGATATAAATATATATTATATTTTTCTAGAGAAGCCGATGCTTGAGTCGGCTTACACACGTGAAAAAACGTGTGAGCATAAACTGCAAAAACAGTATCTTCATTGAATAAAGTGGTGAGAATATAATTTATGGACGCCATTTGAACGACGTTAAAGTGACATTGAGACGACCCACCCACTTAGTAGGGTAGAAAAAGGTTATAAATTAATATGAGTCAGGATTATGATGTAGAGTTAAAAGTTAGGTTAGGAATTAGATTTAAGGTTTTCAGCACGAATTAACATCAGCCATAGTGCCAAAATACTATTTAACTATGTAGACAAATGAATTCCGCGCCAATGTTCAAGATATGCCAACCTTAATTTCCCTGGTTTGTCCATAAATCGCAGTCCAGCCAATAAAGTTAAGATATTTCTGCATCAGTTATAAGAAAAATTAAAATAAATTTTTGTTTTGTATACCTACTTAAGCATAAAAAATGACTTCGTCAGCAAGGCATACCAGCAATCTTGATGAGTTCAACTGACATGAAACCCAAGCCCACGGTTTCATGAGGATTATCTTCAACTACATAAAATTTAGACAAACTATTGCACTTCCAAGGTTACGAAGGGCTTTAACCGATGAAATTAGTCAAGATTTCTTCATCTTTGTTCACTTTGTTGATTATCTGTTCACAAGAACTAACCTAGGTAGGAAGTGAAAAATATGCCACAGCAGTTACTTCCGAGCTGTTGGTATAGACCAGTTCTAGGATTTCAATCAAAATCTTCAGAAAACCCTATATTTTGTCAACACCTTGTAACATGACTATAGTGTTCACGTCCATTATGTGAGCAAGATAATTAGCTCATGTCAGTTGTGAATAAGCAAAACATTTTTCTATATATTTAAGTTTGTTGCCTTCATAAAACAAATGGCGAACTGAGTCTACTGGTGAAAATAATTATTATCAATTTAATAGACTAAAAATAATATAATATTTACCTGAATAGCTTGTTGTTTAACTCACTATCTGTACTTATATATCGATATTGTTCATGGTCTTACTTAGAAAATCGTATATTAGACTAACTTTACAAACAATACTCATTGGGAAAAACAGATTGTTGCAATTTAGCACTCTGATAAACAATATTCAGTAGCTTTTTTAGGACATGAGTGGTAAAATGTAAGTTTCAGTGCATACACCAACTGTCAAATTTTAAACAGAACGAAATGTATATATGAGTTTTGAATGCTAGTTATTACTAAAAATAACACTACCAAACATTAAGCAGTATTATATCCCAAAAAATTACTTAATTCATGTCAAGTATATTACATATTAGATTATTTGATTAATCCAATTTTTAACAAGAAATCATGGTGAAGTTTGAACAAAATGTATAATTTTCATCTGTTGTGCAATAATGAGAGTTTTATAAAAGTTTTTTTTAATGTAAAATCTGTAGAATAAATAAACACGACGAAAATAATTTATCCTTTTATTAAAATAATAATAAATCACCTGTGATAAATTAACTGCATTAACATTAGGAGCTGGAATACGATTAGATGAATCCACTACATTTGAGCATGTGATATTCGACTGTAAAGTTGAAGCTTTAGACAACATAATTCCTGGTAATGATGATGATGATGATGATATTGAAGTCGGTGTTGTTGTTGATGTTGATGACAATGATTTAGAAGTAATTCCATGAAAATTAGTACACAATGAAGATTTGACTTGGTTCCTTTTGCTACCAAAAGGGAATGAACGATTGTTGATTGCTCCTGAAAAGTTTCTTCTTTTACACGATGAGGACAATGACGATGATGATGCCGACGAGATATTTGATGATTTACGATAATTCTGACGGTCTTCAAATATACTGTTATTATTATTAATCTCTGAGTCACGAGGCACTTCTCTAGAATGATGATCGAAATCTCGATTAACTACAGGAGTAACAGAACTATTACTCGTTAAAGGAACTTGGGTGAATCCTGAGTCTCGTAAAAACCTGAGGAAAACAGTTTAAAAAAAATAAAAACATTAAACATGATGTTGAGCATTGAATTAATTTGCTGCTTCAAAAATCGACTAATAGTATAATTACACTACCAAAAATCACGTATCATGTTGAGAGACAAAAAAAACAATATCAGTAGTAGTTGTGAATTAGTCTGAAAGCTACGTTATTTCTAAGCTGAATCATCGTTAATGAGTTCAACCTGCAGTCAGCTAAACAACTTTCCGATATTACGAATGAATAGTGGGTATTAATCGATCCCATGTGCCTATATTAAGTGTTTCTTTGGTTGTTAGAAAGAACATCGGCCTCGTGACTTCTCAAGAGTCTCGGCTTTCACCATGAGGCGTCATAATTCTTCTGAATGAAGATCTTTCAACTTCAAGGGCACAGTTTAGACAAGCGTAAGTAAGTGGGTATTAATGATTAACGTGAATGGCCCCTAAATAATGTTATTAATCAGTTGCAAAAGAATGCCACACAATTTTTACGACACTGATGTTGACCAAATTGCTGTGGTTTTTACAAAACAAATCAGAATAGGATGATTTCAGAAGCTTCAAGATCACATATAAACCTATAAATCGCCTCGTTTTCTGTGCATAATAACCTTCGAAGTAAAACTTCTTCCAAACTTTCCGCCATCAGTTTTCTACTCGAGGTTTTGAGAATCATTTTGTATTTCTTGTTTGATAACATCTATTCAAAACCAAGTATTGAGTTATCCTTGAGGTCTGTTGTTATTAACAAATACCAACATTCACCAATTCCATCATTTTGACACAGCAAGATACACCATGGACAGACTAAATCGCTTTATAATTGTGTTCAAAAATAAATAATTCACCAACTTGTTCATAATTCACTAGTCTCCCTAACTCTTATCGAATTTCTAATGAAAAGATAAATAAATGTGAACTACATATGTGAGAAAAACTAATAACATTATCGATCATATAGAACAACCACACACAGATATATAGATAAACACACAAATAGACTTGTACTAAAAAGGTCATTAAAACTGTTGTTCATGAGTAGGCATAATGTAAAATAAAGAAATATACGATTTAATGATTGATTGATTAGCTGAATGAATTTTAACTTCTAGGCAAAAATGACAAGATAAAGCATTAATAATGAGTTCATGTTGATTTGAGATATTTTCAAAATTGACCTAATAAAAATCGGCGATTTTTTTGTTCTAAAGTATAGAGAAACGGCGATTATTCCTGTATTGGTAATGGTTGATCTTGAGTGGTAGAACTAAGACATGATATTAGTCCATTTAGTCGGTTAAATCGAACCACATTACAAGATGAAATCATCTTGAGTTGGATCTGGATAGTAATGACAACCTAATGTTGGAGACCTTGTCATACCAGTGCATGAAGCCATTGACTACCGGACTGAGAAATCTAGATAGATGCAGATTACCTAATTGAGGTCCTCAGGATTATCGTGACGAATGGTTGGAAGCATTAGGTGAGAACCAACAGGATTGGTCATAATAACACAGGTGCACTCACTCCTTGCCTTCCCTAAGATCTCGAGCTTTAAAAAATAATCGTATACTTTTTACTCCATGGATTCATTCCATCTTCTCGAATCATTTTGTCTATGCCGAAACCTTCCTACTACCACAGATTCTGTAGTCACATCTGCTACTCAGATGTACATCTCGATAATTTCATCTCTCTGTACTAATAAAATGTGACAGCCTGGATCGATGCACATATGTGCCAGGTTCTACGTTGCTTTATGAATTAATTGTTATAAACCTTATTTGGCATAATACAAAGTTGGTTATAGCAGTACATACGTATTCACTTTTTGTCTTCCTCAGAACCTTAAGTTGTGATATTGTTTCATAATCTTTGTTCTCCAATTTCATTCATTCTAAGTTGAATCACTTCTAGAAACTTAGCTATCGTTTTGACTCATTTAGACTCTATCCTGATAAATTCCTCCTAGTATCATGAAGTGCAGTAGTTTACCGGATACACGTGTTTTCCAATTTCTACTTTGTCTATGACTGACTGAGATACTTCGATTTGAGAGGTCCCAGACCTCGAGTACTAGACCATATTATTAACTACAGTCAAATAATTACTACTTACAATTACCTAAAGACATTTAAAAGTCATTCTCAATAAAAGGTCTATCGTGAAGCGTATTACTGAAATCTATAAAAAGGAACTGTATAATAACTAGAACCAAAAAATTGTGTAGTTAAAATATGTGACCTAAACCTAAAAAACGGAGAATGACTGAAGTTGAAACTAAGCTTGAATTACAAATAATTTTAAATCCTGACAAGCCCTGGTACAGCCGAGAGTGAGGAGAGTCAGCTCTTCCTTTCGAAATGCTTTCACATGGCCACGAGTATACAGCACCTACCAGGGAAGTCCTACTCACGGCCTTCTCGTAGTAGGGGTGTTTGCACGAAATTGAGAGGACGAAAAGCGAGTGTCCGGCACTTTAACCGGGTCGGTGGGTATCCAGGATCCATCTAGGAAAGTTGGAAAACCCTCATTCTAAACCAATGGTTCACATGGGCTACAGGATCCTGAGGGACCAAAAGGAGTATGAACTTGTTTTTGGTCACCGGTTACCATGGGACTGAATCTCCTAACGTTGCTCCACTGCCTTGTGGATTAGACCTGTAGGTCAAAGGCTTAGGGAGTAGCCTCTTGAGAAAACCACCTGCTTCCGTTTGGGCACTCGGATAGTATCACAGCCCTCACATAAATTAATGATAACTGATACTGACCTCGCCGTTATCGTGTGGTGCATATGTATATGGTGCCTCCTTGTATCAATGTTTATGTGTTCAAACAAATAAAAATAAACGTTCAAGCTACGGAAATTCAAAAATATCCCCAAACCCCCATGGCAACAGAAATCACGTGGTCATTAGTGATTAACGTCGAAAGGTGATTCCGGGAGCTCCAGTGAGAAGTCATGATCAGTGGAGTTCAAACTTGTCGAACACGAAGCAGTTACCCACCGAAGGCATTAGAAGATTGTTAGACATTATTGCACATTGATTTAAGTTAGAAACGTAAGTTGTCGGATGTTGGCTCAGTGATCTAAATGTTAAGTGTTCACTGCAAAACCTGAATGTTCTCGGTCCGAGCCCTAGCACGTTCTCAGGTACGCATTACTGAGTTTCACACTAGGATGAAATAGCTGTTAGCCCTTCCCCACTTTCAATAGTTGTGAAACTAGGATTAGTTTGTGATGTAAACTAAGGGAATCTAAATGTGTTTGATAAAATTTAGATGATATCGTAATTTCGTCATACGATTAGCTTAGCTCAAAGTTAATTTTTCCATTAGTTCTTGTCTATATCCCCCCAGCAAAAAAGAAACGAGATTCAAATCTTCTAACAAACAGCAAACAAATTTCGGGAATTTAACAAACAACAAGTCATTTACCTGTCATGATGACAACGAGATTTCATATGTTTGCTTAGATTACCGCGTGTTTTGAAAGAAATATCACAATTATGACAAACAAACGGTCGAATATTAGAATGTGTATGCCAATGTTTTTTCAAATGATGATAGGATTTAGTAGTATGCAATGAATTATCTTGACAACGATATCTCCCACGTATAGAAGTGTTAGACCGTTGTGAATTAAGTGAATTCGATAAATATTTTTTATGATTGTTGAGCTTTGTAAAATTTATTCGTCTTTTATGATGAATTGGTCGGTATTGACATTTGATCCTGTCGGGCTGATTGGCTGGTAAAATTGTAACAAGTTTGTTGTGTTGAACTTGTTGATGAGATTGTTTGCTATCAACTGAAATTTCAACACCGACACTTTTGCTCGGTGAAATAAAATTACCAGATAAGGATGAAGTGAAAGCAGAAGAAGAAGAGGAAGAATGACTGTAATTAATGGCAGGAATAATAATATTGTTGGCAGATGTACTGGTGACAAGACATGTAGTTACAGTAGGATTTAATTTAGTGAAATTATTTGTTAAATCATTACTGGAAACTAGTAGTGGTAACATTTTTTGATCCGAAGCGTTTTGTCCCGCTCCAGTATGAAATTGGTCTTGTAATGATTTATTTTGTACAGTTGATAATGCATTGTTTGATTTGATTCTAGAAACTTCGGGTACAGGTCTTATTGGAACTGAAAATATATAATTATTAGAAGAAAAGTGTAACTAAAATGAATTAAAACAATCTTTAGCAGAAAACTTAAATACAAAAACAAAAGTTAGATAGAATATACACATACACATACAAAACTCATGAAGAAGTTTTTCAATATAGAAGGATTATAATAAATTCCAGTTAATCAGGTTCTTTTCTTAACCGTTTTAAAAAAAATGAAAGTAACTACATTAAATTGGCAAGTTATGAAATTTAAGCAGAATGTTTTATCATTATTATTTTTATTTACTAAAAGAATGAAACAGTTTGATACAAGTTATCTGTCTTACTGACTTTATCACTAAGGAATCACATGTACGATAGTTTTATTATTTATTCAGAAATGAACATATTTATAAAATATTGTTAGATAGAATTTTCACAATGATCTCAACTCTGCATAGAATTACATATTTGTCAACTCATATGATCTATGAAATGCAGCAGAAATAATTGACGATAAATTACGGGGGTTTTTTTGTTGTTGTTGAAAATTCATATAATTTCTAAAATATAATATTGAAAAGTTTAATCTCAGTCGTAAGAGATTAAATATTATCAAATCAATTATCATCAGTAATTTCACTTTGAAGGGATTTGAACCCCAGTCGTTTTTTTTTTATTGAATTTACTGGCCAAAAAATGTCACAAAACACGACCGATAGGACTAAGGACACAATAATATTTATTAACTTTAGAGTGATCGACTAACATTACATTTGTTTAATTCATTTAACGATAGACAAATCTATTTTCTTCAAATTGTCCTACTGTTATGTTTCATAAGTATTTTTTAACCAATCAAAAGCGATTGACAACAAAGTCTCATGTTGAATATTTTTCTTAGTCAGTTAACTGTGTAACGTGTCAGCAATTCAAATTTCTATTCATTGGCATATTATAAATATATAGTTATTTTATGCTTAAACATATTTCAACAAACCTATATATGAATATAAAAATTCAAACCAAACAGAGTAATTATTCGGTGTTGGGATATTCAGGAAAATATCCCAAAAATTATCCTGTTAAGCCTAATGCTATCCTTGGACATGAAATAGTATCATCTTATTGGTCAATATTTATTTAACGTGTTATTTTCCTGTTGGCCAATATTGTACAATGTTATTTTCTATTTTGTGGTACGTTGTGGTCTGCTTGACTGGTATATAAACAAAGTATGTTTGAAATATAATGATTCATATATCCGAGGCTGTGACTTGCGTTCTGGACTCATCTGGGTGGGCTAGACAGGGAAGCGAGACCAATCAGAACCCTAGGTCGTTCTACGTGTTTGCGCGTCTTTGGTCCGATCAATAATTCGCTACCCTTAATCCGCAGCATTATTTTTCACGTTATAACATTCGGGTTGGCGATTTTCTTAGCAAGGTTGTTTTCTACGAGATGGGGTTGCTGACCCCAAGCCAAACACTCCTCTTTTACCCAGGCTTGAGATCGACAGTAACCTTAGAAGAGCTACAGACGGAGTACAAGTATTTATAAACAATCGTCTACATAAGATACTTAAAGTCCGTTGGTCGGATACCATCAGCAACAACCTACTGTGGGAGAGAACAAACCAGCTTCCAGATGAAGAGGAAATCAGGAAAAGACGTTGGAAGTGGACAGGATATACAACGTGGAAATCATCGAACCGCATCACGAGACAAGCGCTTACTTGTAATCCTGAAGGGAAACGGAAGAGAGGAAGGCCAAAAAACACTGCGCAGAGAATCAGAAGCAGACATGAAAAGGATGAATAGCAACTGGAAAGAACTACCCAGGATAGAATTCAATTCAGAATGCTGGTGAGCGGCCTATTCTCCTCCACGAGGGGTAACAGGCGTAAGTAATTAGAGTAATTATGTAAAGTTCATGAAGAAACTGTACTAAAAACGGAAACCTAGAGTAGTATGAAAACTAACGCTCAGAGAGTGATAAAATTAGAATAATACTAAGAGTTAGAAGCCACAAATGCATATATATATGACGTGTATAATTCATGTAATAAAAATAGATAAATTCTTGGAACCATTGAAGTGATACACATAATGACAATTCTTCAAAGTTTCCAAATGAACTTGTATTGCATCTTGTGAACAGTCTATTGCAAAGTTTAACCCTATATGATGGTTTGCGTATGCAAACTATAGTTTAAGTATGTACATTTAAAAAATGATTAGGAAGGAAAAAATTGGCTGAACACTATAGCAGAGTACATGTGTTTGCTGTCTGATTCTTATTTACGTCAACGAAGAGATTTTTTTTCTCGAGAATTAAACTATCATCTCCTGGTTACCATAACAGCGAATTTTTCTTCCTACTGAATACATACTTCAAACAAACTGGCAATTATAATTTTTTAATTTATATAAGAAGCGTAATGTTGAATGTGATGCAATATGATAATCATTGTCACCATTGTGGTATGCGGAAGAGTAGACTGAATTATGTATGTTCCACACCGGAATTTATCTTTATCTCTAATTGAACCATAGTGAAAATTAGAAACCAATTGAAATATAGGAAATATTGAATTTTCAAATACTAGAAGCTAACATTATATTGCCTGTGTCCTATATGCAGAAAAATAACCCCTTTTTAGAAAATAAAATTAGTATCAGAAGGGGATTTGTGGAGACTGTAGTAATTTCAATTAACTCATGATCTCAACTATTGAAAATAAAATTAATTTAGACTTAATACAACTCGGTAATCAAGCAGAAATGAATGAACTGACTTTTTAGTTATATATCTTGATTCTGTGAAGACTAATGGTCACCAACCGGTTGCTTTTGCCGCTGCTGACCAAAGTATCTGAAGTAGAATTCGTATATCTAACCTATTAGTTGAAAGTTAAATTTTAAGTCACCGATTTCTACATCTGAAACAGTGATCAAGTAAAAACGATCCACAATTTCCATGAACTCTTCATTTTAATAAAAATCATAGGCTTATTAGTGACCGATATAAGGAGGAAATTCCAGTAGCTCTAGTGATAAGTTGGGGTCGATGTAGTTCACCCATTTGAATTACATTTGAAAACGGTTACCCACTATGATATATTGATTTAGGTCAGAAATGTGAACTATCGGACAGCAACTCAATGGTTGATGGTCGCTACTAGATCTAGAGGACTTTGGTTCAATCTCTGGTAGGATGTGGATATGCACTGCTAAGGAGTCACATACTAAAACGAAACACCTGTCCAGTGCTTCTCGGTTTTCAACAGTTTAGCTAAAATCAGTTCGTGACGTAAACTACGAAAGTCAACGGTCTCCAAGAGTCCCTTACACCTAAAATGAATCTATTCGATTAGGCTAACGAATTTTCAGGTCAATTGAAGCTGTTTACAAGTTATTTAAAGCAATTAGTCCCTTTGATAAATTCCGATAATGTAATAAAAAGACGAGGATTATAGTTATGATAATCTTCGTCTTCTTATTACATTATCGAAATATACAAGTTAGTTAACGATAACTGTAAAGACAAATAACAGACTAACAAATAGTGTTTCGAAATTTAGCCAATTAATTCCAGTAGGTTCGAATTAAAGCGAAAATAAGCTTTCCGCTAGTAAACAGACGTAACAAAACACACAGTTTGGTTTCAATCCGAGCTCTAAAAATTTTATTACATTTCTAATGTTAAACGAAATCGTGGCATACGCATTATTTCGGAATGAGTAAATGGTTGGTCAATTTCAAATAAAAAATTGACCAGATTTAGACACTCCAACAGATGATTTCCTATTTTAGAAAACTTATATATCAGGTAGAAAGAAGTCATAGAATTCTTACAATAATACATGTTTGAAAAAAGTATTATTGTAGTAAACACATGTGTAAGTAAAATATAATCTATATTTCGATTATGCAAACGTTATCTACAACAGAGCAAATATATGCAACCGAGAACGAAATAGATTAGAACCCAAATATTTAACTGTTGGGTTATGTGCTTATACCCTTGTTTATTATTATAGCTAGGTTAGCCAAGTAGTAGCATCACTAATATTTAGAAAACAGAGGAACAAACGAACCTGCAAGTAGCTTGTGAATTTCAGTGTAAAACTAGACTAAGAATGTATATAGAGTATAGCAATATGTATGAATGTTATAGCAAAAGAGACACTGAATTCATATTTTCATACTTAAGTCATTCATATTTAGAAATTTTCCCTGTCTTAGAAAATCTAGTTGAGACGCTCATAGTTTCTAGCATGACGTAGACTAATAACTAGCTATCATGATGATTCTGTCATTTTAAGATAATTGATTTCATGAATGTTGGGAACAAAAAACAAAAAATACCATAAGAAATATATCTCTAATAATATAAGTAAAAGATGAATAAATCGGATATTCGTAAAAGACATTAGTGACTGTTTTCATAGCTCATATGATATTCTTTCAAAAGGTCTGATACGAATCAATAAGTTCAAATAAAAAGTTTCCAATAAAGTTATTCAATTCATTGATATTATTTAAGGATATGTACAGAGATCAAATTTTTGGAACGTTGAAAGCAAATATTACCTTGCGGTCAAAATGAAATTAATGTAAATGGTTGTATAATAATAGATTTATGAGTAGTTGTTGAACGCTAAGGTTTCAAATCAAATTCATGATTCTTTAATTTTTTTATTACAAAAGAACTTTAGAAACTAGTTATGTACTTAAATATTATTATTTTCGTAAAATTCCACAGAATGTCAAGATCAAAACTAAACTCAGCTTTCAAACTGCTGGTAAATTTTGTACCTTAATCTTAAACTTTTGCCATGATCAAACTAAATTCTGTAGAAATTCTTTTCATTTAAAGTCACGTGTGTATGTGTGTTTACTATGAAATTAAGAGAAAATTCCAAACTTTAAGTAAGATGGCCTCATGAGTTTGCTTCAAGGTTACACCAATCACAAAAGTACGATTGACAGATATGACAATAATATTATATGATTAATATACGTAAGGCAAAATATTTTCTACATCAGTCAAGATAACTTATCCTTTACGTGGGACGTACGTATCAGTGAGAGACATGTGTGCATATCCTCAATATGGTTGCATGAAATATTTGTCCGTGATGATCTCCCCAAATGACTCGTTGAAATTTCGTTACACTATGAAAATACCATATATATATGTTCAGTAACTGGTGACTTTGGGTGATATAGCTCAGAATATGTCACGATGGCACAGATGCATCCACTGTTTATCTTCTTCTCAATCTGGAATTCCTTTATACACACCTTCCCATTTTGCATTTCCGAAACCCTATTCTCCGCTATTATTCTTTCGCATTATCATTGAAACATTATTCCGATATCTTTTACCATACATTTTTTCATTTTATCTCATTGTGTTAATATGATGAGATGGTGAAGATTTGTAGCTCAGGTGGATGATTTCGATGAAGTTTTGTTCTCCGAGATGTATGGTTTGGTCGTGGAGCTTTCATCGTTATTATGAACGACATCATCGACACAAACTTCAGGTAGAAGTGAAGTATTCGAATTTCTCCATATATGGTTCACAGCTTGTCCTGAAGACAGAAGTAAACAATGACGGGTTAAAGGTAAACAATAACCAATCAACATCGAGGTCTGTATTGATGATGTCGTTCAGAATAACGATGAAAGCTCCAGGACCAAACCACCGATCTCAGAGAACGAAACTCCATAAAAATGATATGAGAACTTGACCCGACGCATATCCGTACTAAGCTCTACGTTGATGACTGACAGAATGAGTGAGGGAGGGGACTTTAGATGGAATGATAAGATCAATAAATTTTAGCAAGCTCTTTTTAAAAAAAGGAATATACTCACTTGGTTTAGTCGTGTTAAACCCACCGCTGCTCCATACGCATTTAGCACTATCATATTTTTTAGAACAACTTGGACTATTTGGAGTGGAAATCACTGTCGGTGGTAGCAATAATTTATCTTTTCCTGAATTTACTGATGTATCCTGATGAATGAATAAAAGAAAAGGTGTATAGTGATTAGCATTTCGAAAATTACGACAATAACGTTTTCGAATAATATGTTGCTATATATAGACTGTGTCAAGCTAATCGATCAACTATTCAACTCCTGAAAAACACGTTGGAGGAATTTTGAAACTATGAAAAATCAAAGAGCATTGGACAGTTGTTTCGTCCGAATTTTAAACCATTCAGTTGTGATTACCTACCCACTCACTCACCTACTACTCGCTCTGACTAATTATGTTCAAAACGATCAGATCTCACGTTCATGTTCTTCTGTTTATGAGTTTGTTGTATACGCCCCCCCCCCTGCTTCAATACTAAATTTAATCAGAAATAGAAATAAACTTACTGATTGATGTGATAATATTAAATTAGAGTCGGATCCATTAGTCTCCTTCACATCCTCATATGTATTATTATTAACAGGCTTTGATTGATGATCGTCTGATAATTGAGAAACTGTAGTGTTTATATCAGCACCAAATACACTAGTTGATGTAGGAGGTTGAAGAATGATTGTTTTAACTGGTGGATGATTTGTTGAAAATTCAGGTTGAGCTGTAGGTATAGGTGTTACAAGTGAACTTGTCATAAATGTAGATGATCGTGTTTCAGCCAAATTCGTACTTTGAATAGGATTTATTGTAGATGGATATGGTTCTGGTGCAGTTATCATTGGTATATAAGAACCAATAAATCTAGGCAAAACCATTAACTGAGGTAATATGAAAAAACTTGGAGATGGTTGAGATCCATTTAGTGTCGATGGTGTAGGTGTAATAGGTCTAGGTGAAGGAAAAACCATTGTAAATCCATTCATTGGATTGGATTGATGCGAAATAGGATCTATGTTAGATACATAAGAAGTTAATGGTGTATTTTGTGATGAAATAAAATTCGGATTACCATAAACAACATTAGTAAATTGTATAGGAGTAGGAAGTAATCCGATTCCTGAAGTAGAAGGGAAACTAGGTAGTTGCGTATCAATTTGTTCCGTTGAAATAGACGAGTAACTCGATGATATATTGATAACTTGTTTGGTAGATTGTGAAACAGTTAATTGTTCACAGTTGATCGAAGATGAAGTCTTCGTTTGATTAATATTGTCCTGAAGTTCTGTGAATAAGCGGAAAACAAGTTCTATTGTATATGTGTACATGAAGAGTACAGAAAAGTATAAATGAAGTATAAAGACTAGTGATCCCTTCGTATTCAGTAGCCTGGATTAAGACCCAGATATTCGCTTTACATCCTTTCTTTTTCCTAAACTATGCCCTCACCTAGAGGAGAGTTGAGTAGGACTTCCCAAGCATAGGCTATAAACTTGTGACTAAAGGTTGGATCGAGGTAATCCATCCACATATACCAACATAAATTAACCAACTTCAGTCCTGAATATTAACAACGGGATAAACAATTACCAAAAATAAGTATATTTTATTCGAGAAGTCAGCAAAACAAATAAAGTATTTAAAAAAACGATTAAATTTCAACTCACTTGGAGTCGAGTTCGTATTGTCTGTAAATGAACGAGACGAGTTTGATCGAGTATAATTTGTTGAAAGCCTTTTTTTAGGAGGTGGACGAATTTTTCTCTGTACCACAATATTATTAGTATTATTATTACTGTTGTTATTAATACTACAATTCTGTGAAGTAGAGATTGGATTCCAAACATCTGTGGTACAATGAGTTGATAACTTTGAAGGTTGGATAGCAATTAAATGATCTGTAGGGCGACTAAGAGGTACATTATTGTTGGTGGTGGTAATGGTTGTAGTGGTTATGTTATCACCTGAGACACATTTATTCAAATCATTCGAAATCTTATCTTCCACTACGGTATTTGAGAATGCATTTAAGTTACTGATTGGTCCAACTGAATGTTCAGTGGATGATACACTAGACACTGACTTATCACTTGTTTCATTCTCTTGTTTAGACATCCAACGAGAATGGTGTTCAGCGATTTCATCACCTGAAGAGTAATTGAAAATAACTAGTTGTGTGATTAATTTTAGATTACGGTGATATCTTTGTTACAAATATGTGGGAAAATAGATTTAAGAATAGTTCAAAAAAAAGATTTACAGCGGAAATAATTCCCTTGACAGTAAAATGCCACCTCATAAGTATACAATAGAAAAGAGATTCCCAATTCGGGTCAGATGTCTTGAATCGCTTTCATTCACCAGTCTTTTTTGAAAAAAATTCATAAAATAATTATAAGTGTAAACTAGACATCATGAAAAAAGCTTTCAAGGCTTTCAAATAAAGTGTTTAGGCTGACCGATTACACAAGAATACAGTTTAGATTCATTCAGTTCATTTCGCTCAATATCCATTATGAAATTGTTAACCTAAAGTAAAACACATCAACAGTAGAAAAATGATATACAAATCTCAATTCTTAATAAGATCAGCTACAACCTTAAATGGATCATAGCAAACCCACTAACCACCAAGACAAATTATGCTGGTTTACACCTCATAGCTGAAGTGACTTAAACATACAACTTTCATGATCAAATAACTTTCAAAGTTTAAAAAACTACAAACGTAAAGAAGTGAAGACAAACATTTAAGTAGGATTACATGAATCCATTAGATTTAGTTAGGTCCTCATCAGATGCTTACAAACCTATGGCATTTTAAAATTAAAATTATCTCATAGAAGTTAATGGATAGGACATACATTACGCAAATCGTAAAACTGCATCACGAGGCAAGCCCTAACTCGGAATCCTGAAGGGAAGCGAAAAAGAGGAAGGCCAAAGAACACAATGCGTCGGATAATAGAAGCAGATATGAAAACGATGAATTACAACTGGACGGAGATAGGAAGGATTGCCCAGGACAGGGTTGGATGGAGAATGCTGGTGAGCGGCCTATGCTCCTTCACGAGGAGTAACAGGCGTAAGTAAGTAAGCATAGAAGTTAACATTCTAATACAAGTGAATTTGACTAGAAGTGAATATGTATCATATATGATAAAGCGAAGATTCCAATAGGATTAAAAAGATTGAAAAAATTGTCCCAGATGTATACAGTGTGAGAGAGGAAACTCTAGAACATCAAACTAGTTACTAAAGTTCATAGAGCTAAAAATTTCTGTTGATTACGTGATGAACCGACTGAGCACAGGTTAATGGTGACAAGAGATAAACTGAATTAAAATTAGTTAAGTAGAAATAAATTTGAAAGAACTGAAAATGATGTAATTGAAATATCCTGAACCCAAACTGATTGCATTATACAAAATAACATGTTTTTTAACGAAATTAAAAATCGATAGGTATCTCCTTCATGTTATCGACGACTATGTGTATAGATTTAAATGCATCTGTTAAAGCAGTTACATTGGTGGGACAGAAGAAAGGATCTACGATCGATTGAAAGAACATATTCCAAAATGTCCGAGGTCGGACTGGTCAAAGACTTTCAGTAGTACTATTTAAAGACATTCATCTACTTGAGACAGGATATCAAAATGATAAAATGAAATCCTTCAAAGTGACTAATAAATAATTAAAATCTGATTTTCTGAAATTTGCTAAGGCCATAGCTTTCGCAAGATTGAAACAAAACTCCTGTTTTTAAAAAAGTGACATATCTTTATTAACAGTAATGAAATTATACTCACTCGAGTATCTGTACAGTATTAGAGTTTCCTTTTACCAAACAACAAACAGGTAGCCCATTCTGAACTACCATACACGAATGTTTTACCTAACAAGTTACCATTTCAGAATGCTAAAAAAACGAACGTATACCCTTGCGACTCAATAGATGAAATCCAAGCAATCAGGATCAATTCTTTAAAGATATTGTCAGTTCAATAAGATTTAAGCAAATTAATCCTTTCTTATCTGCTACTTGAATTTGTAACTAACATTTAAGTAAAAATAAGAAAAACAAATTTTCACTTTCATCAGAAGATCTGACGAAACATATTATAACATTCTGTCGTTTGTTCCCGGAGTCGTTGTGTTACGCACTGGATTAAATCACAAATATCCGAACCGAGTCAGTTTGGTTTAAAAATTAGATGAAAGAGAATACAGATATATGATTGGTCAATATTTCAGCTAATTTTCAAGAATCTGATTGGTCGGTGAACGAACAAAAGAGCGTGGGGAGTGACATAGATGAAGTATGTATAAGCAAGACAATAAGTCGGCGTAGCTGGGTTAGAACTAACTATCGATCGTGCCTAGAACATTGATAAACTATATTCAGGCAGATAATGGTGAATAATGAAAAATTATAACTAACAATAATTTGCAATACACAAATTAGAATCCTTTTACAATTACTGAGAGGGATACAACGTACAAGTACTAATCGAAACGAATCCATTTATCAAAACTACTCCACCATGATTAGCCTTTCACGAAAATCAAATCAAATCTATTTTGCTCTATTGAGTTGCATGCTCAAAGTAAACAATAGTGAAATTTTGATTTCATCCGTAAATAAACTGATCAACAGCCAGTTGAAATAAAATCTTACAAATAATCTATCAATACATTCTATGCAAAGTAACATCGATAAAAGTAATAAGTTTCGATTATATAATTAAGAATTCGAAAATAAGTTTCAAACTACTCTCACTATAAGATGAGATGTCAAGTTGGATGACATTATACAGATGTTTCGCTGTATATTAAAAATGTTGAAAAACATATGGGGAGCATGCTAACGAAAATAGAGATTTAATATCTTTTAATGTTCAATTATACCGACCCATGATAAGGAGTTTTTCTAATTACGAGTTGATGTAAGAAAACTAGTGAAGCAGTAATCCTTCGCGGATGATGACCGGCAGTAATGATCGGTAAAGGTTTAAAAATAATAAATGACTTTTCTAGTATGGCTAATATATAACGATAAAACTTTTTAATTGGTACTAAGTGTGAACAATCAGTCTTTAAGCCTCCACAAAAGTGAAAAGACATAGGAAAATAATATAAATAAACAAACATGCAAGTTAGTACAAAAATGTTGGCAAACTTCATAGCAGTCATCGTAACTGAAAAATTATTCGTAAGTAAACTCAAACATAAATTTCAGTTTATGCACTTGAATTAGTTTTGAAGTTAAGTTTACACAAGGTCGAAAACTTTATTACTTGTTCATGATAAGTTGATAAGCATTTAATATTAGTTAGTGAAGCAACTTACATCGATCATAGAAAGTGAGAGTTTTCCAAATGCAACTTCAAGCATTTCCATTCATAGATATCGAAAGAATGCAAAAAAGTCGATAGTTCAACAGTGCAACATATTTTCAATTCTGTTCACACCGGCCCATCATAAATATCTTTCAAAACCATCTACAGGGTCAACTGATTGCGGTGGGAGGGGTACAAATCAATAACTTGTGCACTGTGGAGGCGCTAGTAACTCAACTCAAAGCTGGACTCTGTATGTAAAAGTAGCATGTGCAATCTCTCTCTCTGCATACTAGTTGTTAAAACCTAATTTCTGATTAATAATTATTAACTCCTGCACGTCTTTTGCTTCCTTGTCTTTTTAATATTAATTAAAGGGACAATTATCGTTCATACATTTCTTCTCAACTTATTATTTTTGTTTGTCCCCTAAAGTTACCCTATCATCCTGTGATTCCTGAAATTTCCATGCACCCAAAACCATCAACAACAATTCACATTCCAGGTAAAAAGTAAATGGAAGCAGGTAGGATACATATTACGGAAATCATAAAACTGCGTCACAAAACAAGCTATAACTCGGGATCATCAAGGTAAAGAGAAAGGCCAAAGAACACAATACACTGGTAATTGGAAGCAGAAATCAGAGGGATGGATAGCAATTGCAAACAAATAGAAAGGCGAGGACAAGAAAGAGTTGGCTTGAGAATGCTGATCAGTGGCCTGTGCTACACGAGAGGCAACAGGCATAGGTAAGTAAGTAACTGATAACCATCAGTTAGTATATTTAAAATCAACATTGAACACATATTACTCTTCAAACAATGTAAGTAATCTCTTACTAAATTCGTCTTACAATACAGTAAAAAAAAAACTGAGTAAAAAGCGAAACAAACCTTGAGTTTTCAACTCCGTTATAGTGTTGTTAATATCAGTATTATATGGCGTATCTCTCTTTTCACATGAATTATTCACTTTTGGTGCATTATCTAATTCCATCATAATTTGTCCCATATTCAAAACCATATCATCAGTACTTCCACGAGCTAATGATAGAATGGTTCGTGCAGCCTGTAATTCATCTTGACTACGATCATGATATTCTAATGAATTAGATGTCATATTTATATCATGTGTGTTAAAAATATAATCTTTTTGATAAACAGTTGTTAAATTTGTGTAAGCTTCTTGATTCCCTTTACCGGAATTCAGTGAAGATAATGAGGAGGATGGCACTAGAAAGAATGACAATAAAATGTAAATAAATGCTTGTCCATTATTTTGGTTTTACTAAACACTTAAAAAATCAATCCTTAGTACAATAATATAAAGACTATAAATGAGTGACTGACAGTGTTATATTAGTAATTTGATATCATTCGAGTAATTTTAATTCTATGTAACTCGGTAACTTTTGTAAACTAGTAAATAGATTACAGAAACAATTGTTCCGGCTGAACAACATTGAGACATAATGAATGGTGACGGCTGTTTCATGATTGAAGAACTCAACATTCAACCAGGTGGTTTCAATCCCGCTCTGTTTACTTCGATTTGAACAACTAGATAATGTATCACTGGTCATCACAAACAAAACGATGCAATTCAAAGCTGATAAGATAAGCTAACATGTTACTTATTTATTATTATTTATTCATTTATTTGAACACATAAATATTGGTACAAGAGGGCACCAAATATATATATGCGCCACACAAACAATGAGAATGGGAAGAGAAGAAAAAGGTAAGGAGCTTAATTTCTTATTAAGCTAACATGTTGTGACAAGATTTTTTAAAACGATACTTACCTTTTATTAAAACATTCAGAAAAATACTCAAATGAGTCACTTTCATACAACCAGAAACATTCTGATGGCTTAAATGCAATCTAATATCTATTACCATATTGCCCAATTTCTTTTTATTTTCAAGTATAAAGATTTCAAAATTCATTGTCAGTCTAATCAAACTTATCACATTTTTTGCACACATTACAATGACTAATATTGGATGGTCGTATGTGTAAGCAAGTTCACACAAACACTCATATGAAAGCCCAATACAAGTGAAAGTATTCCACTTTTAATAAAACAAAACACACAACGTCATTTGCTTGATTTACATACATAGAATAACATGAAGTCAAGCTGTACATTAAAGTGAATGAAACAGAGAAAACCGGGTTGTAGAGCCTTTAGAGTCAACAGTCCAGAATATATCTTAGCGAAATTTCAGAGATAACATTTCATTGTCTTGTTTTTATTATCTTCAACTATTTTTCAGAAGTCAACATGCACAAAAAAATGGCAAAAACACTCACAATAGGAAGGTAATCATAAAATGATGCAGTTTCAAATTCAATACAAAATCTTTCTGAGAATTGCATAGCCTAATTAAAAATACCATAACTTTTGATAGATTTTATTCCAGTGGATATATTCATCACATATTTAAAAAATAGTAAACCCTTATATAGCAGAACTTGTAAATTTATCTTACCCCTATAGAAATTGGTATGTACTGAATGCAACTCTATGCAGTTGAGAATACATTTCAACTATTACACAAATGTAACCAAATTTCAATTTAATTATGAAAAACATGATAAAATGTGTAATTCATTATGTAATATCTGATTTGTATCCATCAACATTCTAATTCTTTTTTTCGACACTAAAATGTTCATGTTCAAAAGATCCATTGAAATAAACTTTCACAGAAACACTCGAATAAACAAAAAAACAGTTACTGAGTTTTAAATAGAAACAATCTTGAAATAATTATGCCAGAGCGTAGTATATTGTATTGTCACAAAAGAAAGAGATAGAATATATATATATATATATATATATATATATATATATATATATATATATATCCGTTGGCCGGATACCATCAGCAACAAACTATCGTGAAAGAGAACAATTCACATTCCAGGTAAAAAGTAAATGGAAGCAGGTAGGATACATATTACGGAAATCATAAGACTGCGTCACAAAACAAGCTATAACTCGGGATCATCAAGGTAAAGAGAAAGGCCAAAGAACACAATACACTGGTAATTGGAAGCAGAAATTAGAGGGATGGATAGAATATTTATCTGTAAGAAAATATAAAAGAGGATGAAACTTCCCTCCTTCACCCATATACATTTAAGGAGAATATTATACTTTGAGTCTGACTATTTATGAGATCAATTTTTCACCAAACAGTAGACTTACAGCTCTGTCACTTTGGTACATATTTTTCAACCGGTATAGCACAGTTTTGAACATTGTTGTTGCTGGGGACGTTAGATCCCTAGAAATCACTTAGGAAAGGACCTAATTTTGTAATTTATTTAGAAATTTTGAATTTCTTTGTTTTCGCGCCAAAGGCACTCTTGTCACCTTCATGTCGTATTTCCCACTGGGAAATATCTTAAGTGCTATTGGTCCGTTGCGTCTCTTAGTATGCTATTTGGTAACTCTCCCCAAAGACGGTTTTGTACTGTATATATACGTTTTGAATTGTGTTTGTTGTTATCGCTCGTTTTGTCTGTTTGCAGAATATACTTCCCCATTCCAAGCTTGGACTTCTCCCTCTAGTTAGCGGGGCTGGGACGCATCAATAGCTAGCTTACTGGTCTTTGGTCACCGAGTCTTGTTTCTCGTTCGCAGATTAAGTGAACTCGTGATGGCTTCAACCCTAATAGTTGTTCTGCTTAACGAGGTTTGAAATACCCAGTAGTGCACAGACTAGTCTGCTCCACATAAATTTTGTTCATGCACTAATAAAGTTATCATTTTTGTAATGCGTGTATATTCGATGTTGATGGTTAACACTGTCATTTAAAGACAGTTATAATGTGAATTCAGTAATTACTAAAATCCTTTTTAAACTTCATTCATTTTGTCCCTGGATTATAGCAAACATGTGTCAAAGTGAGTCAACCACTGAGTTATCATAAATAGTCTATCAACAAACATGAACTCCGATACGCTAAACAAGGAATAATAATAAAAATTGATGATATGAAAAAAAAAGAAGTATTCTAAGAAATTCGGTTTCATTAGTAAACTAGGTTACATACTTAATTTAACAGTTTGACTGATAACAAATATACTTACTTAATATAGAGTCTGTAGACAGATAAGATGATGATGAAGTGAGTGGTAACGATGAAGAAGAAGTGTTTAATTCTGTTAAATATCCTTTTGTATTACAATTATTCATCCCACCAAATACTGTGCTATCATCACCAATCAGTGAATTGGTATCCAATGCTGAAATACACTGTTTCACAGCCAATTTATTTGCACAAACCAAAAATTCAATAGTTTGATTGGGCGAAAGATGGAATTTTAGAATTCCCGTAATAGATGGTTTACGAGGTGAGAAATTAGCATCATTTGCTTCGTTTGACTCGTCATTCAAATATGTGATGAAATTGTCTGGTTTTAGAGGCTAACATGTAAAGTTGACAGAACAAATGAGGGAGCAAACAAACAAAGAAATTTAATTCAGCGACATTTTTTTAAAAGTCTGCAATAAATTAGTTAGCCTCGGACCTTCTGAGGTTAGTTACAAAGCTAATTTAATTTTTTTTTTGAGGGAGATCGATTAGTCGAGTAAAAATATGAATCCCACTGAATGTGTATTACTATTCACATCAACAGATAGTATTGAGGTAAAAAAATACAATGGGGCTTTACTATTTATTATCATCATCAGTGAGTTATGCAATCAGTTTACCTTACTTTAAGATGACACAAAATCTATGTCCGAAAAAAATTACTTGTTTTGAAGTAATAGAAGGAGTAGAAGTTAGGTTTAAGTGATTCCTGTATAATGAAGGTTAATAGTAGAACTCTGAACAAAAAGGTATCCGTTAGTTATTATATCTGTATTTCTAAACATAATGAATTCTGCTGATCCAAGTTAAGGTTGAAGAGACTATTAAAAACCCTACTGTGATTGGAATAACCAGTTATTAACTATTATACAGGACATTCAGTAAAAATGTGAAAATGATGAACCTAGATTTGATTACTAAATTACACTGAAGTTATTTCTGAAATACTAAACTATGAAATCCTTCAGTAAACAGGACACGTGAACTTTTGCGATGTGAATTTCTCGAATTAATCGACATATACAATACATAAACTCAAGAGAAGTACAAAATAAAACTGGACAGAATAAAAAGTAAATACTCTTGTACAATAAAAACAAATAAGTCGAAGTACATTCCCTCAAAACCACAGATATTCCTCCCTGGTGAGTGTCAAATAGTACGAAATCTAGGTCCTGAGTTTCTTGTCGACTACTTTTAACCAACTAACATTGGTCACGATTATCGCGTGGAATCTTAACAGATAATCTGAACTTCACTATATGAGGTTCAGACCAATGACCGGATTTCATGAACTGATGCCATGTCTTGGTTTGACGCCCTCTAGTTTTTTTTCCCAAGAGACTCCTGCACTAGCACTGAAATAATAGTTCAGTTACTTTTCTTTTGCAGAAGAAATTCAGAGATAAATCATCAGCCATTCAAATAAAAATAAATACTCACATAAAACATTTGTAATTTGTCAAAAACTAATTTGGTTTTTCTGTTGATTAAAGATAGGTTTCAATTAGTTAATATTCTAAAATAATTTTTCAGAAATGTTTTCAGCCATACGATCTATTCGAATATGACTCATTTAATTTTGACCTCACTTTGACCTTTCACAATAAGTATACAATTTAGTAAACTCATGTTTCTGTATTCGCAACAAATAAGGGTAAATTGATTTTTGTCAAGGAAATTAAAAAAATAGTTTAATTATCAGCTGGTTACATGTTTTCCAAATTGTTCTACGTTAGACTACCGCATAGAGTTTGGTGTATATGGTACTACAGAACCTGAAAGTGAGAGAACATTGGGCTTTTTAATTTCCATTCCGATTTCTAATGAGTTGTGACATTATATCAAAATATCTAATCAATTCAAGACTAACTTCAATCAGCCAAATTGCATTGACATTTTATCTCGATCCTAGTACAGAATAAACTAATTCTCTACCATAGTTTATATTGCATTTTGTTTATTTAAATCTCAACAAAGTACCATCCCTAAACCTTATACAGCAAAGTGATTAAATATATATTGTGGTTACTGAGTTCTAGAGTCAGTTTGACGATGTAATGTAAATTATGAAATAATTTTAAGTAAATGAACATACACGTTACATAACAATACGACTACCTCACTTATATGTAAATAGAAACGTTAACTACAGTTATTAACGCACTCTTAAATATTCTAAACAATTAGATAGTAATATTCATACAGAAATACATAATACCTTAATTCATTTTCAATTGACTATAAATAACTATTTCAAGATTACAAATGAATGTTAAACGAACAAAAAGTGTTAAAAAGCTTCTGTATTGTTATTTATTTTTTATTTGAACACATAAATACTGGTACAAGAGGGCACCAAATATATATGCGCCACACAAAACAATGAGAATTCGAAGAGAAAAAAAGAACAATAACGAAGAGATTGGAGTAAGGTAGTGTAATAATAATAATAATAGTAATAGTAGGGGAACGGAAAGGTACAATCAGAACAAATCTTTCAGCTATGGAAGATACGACCACTTTTTAGGAAGAAAGTAAGAGAAGGTTACAGCAGGATCGCCACAGGCTTCTATTCTGAGCCATATCTGATAACGTCTCTAGCCACTGTGTTGCACAATCTCTAGGACCCCAGCCAGCCCTTTGTAGCTTTCTTTCATACCACGACACCATGTCATATACTGACCACCTCTCCGCTTTTCCAACCAGTCCCGGAGTCGGCAAATAATGCACGACGTAGAATTCTCTGAGACGACATTCGGAGAACATGTCCAAGCCACCGAAGTCGATGTTTCAAGATGGTGACACCAATTGGATTATCGTCGCTGTGTCCGAACACACGGTGCCGAACCTCTGCATTACTAACATGGTGTTGCCACTGGATGTCAGCAATCCTTCGGAGACAACGATGATCAAACACAGAGAGTCGTCTAACAACCTCAACTCGGAGAGGCCAGGTTTCACAAGCATAGAGCAAAACTGCTCTCACCGACGCATTGTAAATCCGACCTTTTACAGTCAGACTAACATCACGAAGGTGCCAAAGGTGGCCCAGATTGGCATAAGCTGCTCTGGCTTTCACTATACGTGCATTGATCTCATCACTCACGCCACCACCAGCACTTATGTAGCTACCTAGATACACGAACTTCTCGACTACTTCTATCTGCTCACCATCGAGGGTGAGTACGGGATTAGAATCCTGCCAGTCTTGTAGAAGTACTTTGCACTTGGAAGGTGCAAAGCACATACCATACCTACGGACACTGATTGCCAACTGATTAAGTGCGAATTGCATGGCTTGGGCATTATCGCACAGTAACACAATATGATCCGCATACTCAAGGTCGAGAAGCCTTTCTCCAGGTAACAGATCCACACCACCATTACTTACATCCATCAGAGCTGTTTCCAGAATGTCATCAATGGCAAAGTTGAAGAGGAATGATGAGATTAGGCAACCGTGCCTAACCTCACTGCTTGAATGGAACAATGGAGAAAGGTGGTTACATGCCTTCACTCTGCCTGAGGTGTTTGTATATAGGGCTTTTAGGATGTTAATAAACTTCTCAGGCACACCCTTCTTCAATAGACAATCCCAGAGAACAGTCCTGTCCAACGAATCGAAGACAGCCCTGATGTCAAGAAACACTACGATTGTTGGCCTTTGATAAGTATGACAGTGTTCTAACATTTGGCGGAGGGTGAAGATATGATCAATACATCCTCGACCAGAACGAAACCCAGCCTGCTCATCGCGAGTCAATCTTTCTCGGGTTTTGAACAACCTACGAAGTATGACGGAAGCCAATAGCTTGGACGCAATCGGAAGTAGACTTATCCCCCGTTAGTTGTTACAGGAACGACGTGAACCGTTTTTAAAGATAGGGACAACTATCGACTCATTCCATGACGTTGGTACACTCTCTAGTTCCCAAACCTTGGTAAACAACGTCGTCAATTCCTTAGTCAAAAAGTCACCACCATCTTTAAAAAGAGCCGGAGGTAAGTCATCTGGGCCAGGTGATTTGTAACGCTTCAAGAGTTGGAGTTCCTTGCGGACTTCCTCCTCATTTGGTGGATCAGTCGTCACCGGCCATGGAGGGCAGGACAGTCTGATCGATATTGCCGGAGCAGCAGGCTAGTTGAACTGCCCTTCGAAAAACTCTGCCCATCGTCCAAGACGTCGATGGATGTTGGTGATTGGCATCCCATCATCCTCGTAGATTGTTTCGCTCACACCAGACTTCTTGCTGCCAGTGGCTCGGATGGGTTGGAAGAGCTTCCGGTAGTTACCAGATGCAGCTGCTGCTTCCAGGTCATTAGCACGCTTCGACCACCAGGCTTCTCGGTCCTTACGCAAGCTTTGCCCAATTTCCTTACGTAGCATCCTTCGTTTATGGTCAAACTCACGGTCACCCGAAGCAGACTGACGGGCTTCAATGAGTTGTAAGGAACCTGAAGAAACCCAGTGCTTATAAGCGGGACGTTTCGCAAACCCACAACTGACTGTACCCGCCATTTTCATGGCATCATGCAATTGCAACCAATGCTCATCTATACTTTTCGGTGGAACGGTAGCTAGCCTAGGAACTAGCTCGTTTCGATACTTACTAGCAACAGAAGTTGCAACCACCTTGCTGACATCAATCCGTTGGTGGCGGTCACTTCGTTGGCTACTGAAAAGTAAGGCAAGATTGGCGCAGACCAAGGCATGATCAGAGTCCAGATAGGTACTCCAAAAGGAGCGGCAGTCTTGTACACAACTACGCCAGTGGTAGTTGATCGCGATGTGATCAATTTGAGTCCAGGCTTGAGATGCAGAAGGAGGACGCCAGGTGGCACATCGGCGATGACTGTGCCGAAAGTTAGTGCTAGCCAGAAACAGGTTGTGGTCTGTGCATAGTTGCAGTAGACGGCCCCGTTATCTGACCTGCGACCGACGAGTCCTCATCGGCCACCTAAACGACTCTCTTCTGTGCCTAGACACCCCACCTGAGCATTCAAGTCTCCGGCTAGCACTACAATATCTGTCGAACGCACTTTCTGGAGAAGAACAGTTAACTGGTGGTAGAATTCTTCCTTGATTCCATCCGGGCTGCAATCTGTCGGGGCATAGGCGGACATGACGAACAGATATAGTTTCTCACGCCGATTTCCTCTCAATTTGATGGAACTCTCTAATCTAACAGCATATAACCGACTGTTAATGGGGATCCAATCGATTAGTGCTGCCTCAGCTCTAGCGCTTAGTGCGACACCAACGCCAGCAAGACCAGACGAAGATGCCACAGGGTCTCCGGATAGACGCACGTAAAACAAGCATTTTGAA